TGGAATTTTTTTTTCTTTTGGGTTTTTTTTTTTTTTTTTTTTTTTTTTTTTTTTTTTTTAGGTGATAATAGCAACACCTGGAAGACTTCTTGAGATTTTAAAGCAAAGTTCTGTTCAACTGCATGGCATAAGAATTGTAGTGGTGGATGAAGTAAGTTTTTATTTATCAGATCTCTATTACCTATACAGAGATCCTGGAAGAATAATGTGAGTGGCTGATCTCACTTACTAAACAAATAGAGTGTCTGTTATAAAAATACAATATACTTCTTAGGAGACAGTTTTATTTTTTGACACAATTTGAAATGTGTTTAAACAACAGATGTTCTATTGCTGTAAAGGTTTAGGTACCTAACAGGATAATACTGTTAGAGGAGTGTGAACTATTTGTTTTTAATTTTCTCACTTACCTCTTCTTCTGACTATAAATTGCATTTGGAAAACCCTGCATTTGGATTGTTATATGTTACATTATGGTTCTTCTGTCAACTTAAGTTCAGGATCCTGCTGTTCCTGGAAAAAATGTGGTACAAATCTAATATTTTTCATTTAGGTGGACACCATGCTAAAAATGGGTTTCCAGCAGCAAGTATTGGATATTTTGGAAGACATCTCTCATGATCATCAAACCATACTGGTGTCAGCCACGATTCCAGTGGGCATTGAGCACTTGGCAAATGAGCTTCTGCACAGTTTTGTCAGAATAACAATTGGAGAGAAGAATCTGCCATGTTCTAATGTTCGGCAAATTATCTTGTGGGTAGAAGAACCATCTAAAAAGAAAAAACTGTTTGAAATACTAAATGTAAGTTCAGTATTTTTCTCATAAGAGCAATTTATAAAATGATCCATATCTTTTCACATCTCTGTCAGGTTCTCATCTCGTGATCAGGAAAAGTTGAACCCATGCTGATGATGAGCAGCCAATGGCTGTAATCCCTTTTTAAAGAAACTGTTTAATTTTACAGGATAAGAAGCTCTTCAAGCCTCCAGTGTTGGTGTTTGTGGACTGTAAACTAGGAGCAGATCTTCTGAGTGATGCTGTTCATAAGATTACGGGATTACAGTGTGCAGCTATGCACTCTGAAAAGTCTCAGATGGAAAGAACAGACATATTACAGGTTTGTGCCTGCTCAACTTAAGGGTGTTTTGGTAGATTTCAAATGGCCTTTTTTTCATATGTGGCTTCATTTGAATGACTGAAGTCATAATTGACTGCTTTTCTGCAGTAATACCTGAGGTATTGCTGGGGGAGATGAGAGACAGACAGGACTAAGCAAAACTGTAGATAATAATGCTATTTTAAATGTAGATAAATACAGAGACTTTCCCAGATTATTTGAAATGGGAACTTAAATAAGCATTTAACTGTAACTGATAATTTTTGGAATTTAAATTGTGGGTTTGATCTCTCTTTGGTTATCTCTCTGAATTAAATTCCTGTTTAAATCGAGAATACAGAGAGCCATTCTCTCTTGTAAAATAGAATAATCCCACTGGCCGTGTTCTTACTCCAAATAACTAGCTGTTAACCTATGCTTGAAGAGGTTCAAAATACAAATAAGGATAAAAGAATTAATTTTGGTTTGTTCCTTCCTTACCAGGGATTACTTCAAGAGAAGTATGAAGTTATAGTAAGTACTGGAGTCCTTGGACGAGGGCTTGACCTTGTCAATGTCAAACTGGTGGTGAATTTTGATATGCCTTCAAGTATGGATGAATATGTACACCAGGTAAATAAACAAATTGCTAATGCTTTATTTGAAAAGTATATTGAAATATGGCATGCACCTGTGCAAATTTAAATGTAAACAAAAAGATCATTTTCCTCTTCAGAATATTTTTTCATAGGAAAGGGAAAAACAGTGCTGGATATTTCTTCTGTAAGTCTCTTACATAAATTTCTCAAATCTAGAGTACTGTTCCTATTATCTTCTATGTAAGTTACTAAAACCTAGAAGAGTGTCTTTAAATCACTTACTTTTGCAGTGTTATTCTTTCTGTTTGGAATTGTCTTGTATCATTTTGCATCTATAGAAAACAAAATTTACCCTTTTTTAATTGTGTGAAGAAAGGCCAAATGCCCCTCTTGCAGGTACAGCTCATCCTCAGTGTGGGATATGCAGTAATAGTCAGGAAAGCAGTCATGAACTTGATTTCTTCCCCTCTTTCTAGTCAAGCATCTCCTTTGATTTTTTTCTCTGTGCATTTCCTGCTTTAGAAAAGATGATCTGTGAGTTGCACGTGTGTGTGCACTTGTGTGCACAGTCCCCAGACCTAGTTTAGCTGGCACATCAAGAGAACTCATTCTTGCCCTCTTTGCGGCATGAGGAAGACACAATGCTACTGTGTGCAGTCCTGAGAACATCAGCCATGGGAAAAGGCAGCAAACTGGAGGCAGTCCAGGTGAAGTCAGGGGGCTGGCACACGTGACACTTCAGGACAGGCTGAGGCAACTGGGCTTGTTTGGGCTGCACTAGAGACTTAATTGCTCTCTTCCATTTAGGTGATTACAGAGGAGACAGAGCCAGACTGTCCTTGAAGATGCCCAGGGAAAGGACAAGAGCCAGCAGTTGTAACCTCCTGCAAGGGAAATTGTGGCCTCATAGCAGGGAGAAAGGATTTACACAGCAAGAGGGGTCAGGCAGTGGAAGAGGCCAGAGGGATGATGGGATTTTTGTGCTTCAAACTCTTGAAACAAGGCCTTGAGGGAACTGATCTGACTTTGAAGTAAACCTTGTTCTGATCAGATGAGGAGCACCTCTGGAAGTTATCCACTGTAATGGACTCCTCAAGTACCCTGTGTTATTAACTGCAGCATTCCCCTCTGTTTTTAATTATCTTTCTGCTAAAATTTCAAGCATGTTTTAAGTAGATAAAAATGGTCTTCCCTAGCATCAAAATGATACCAATATTAACATGTTAGGTGTTCCTAAATAGAGAGTCTTTGTAGATTCTTTTCTAATTTGTTCAAGCAGCTTAGATAATACTGGTAAATAATTTAAATTTACTAGAACACTGAAAGTAAAGGGCATTTCTATGGCCATGCTGGCACATATTGTGCTTGATATGAAGTATAAGCATTTGGCATCTCTACAGTATTTTTTGAGCCCTTTTGTTTGGATCAGATTTACTGTAAGCCTTTGCCCATACTCTGTACCTCATACCTCAGTATCAATATTGGATTTCTGGTATGTCACATAAACAAGTCATAACTTTAACTGCATTTCAGTTACAGCTTCAGATCTACATATCCTGAATTCAGGAAGTTTATTGTAAGTACCTTTGTGCTTAGAGGATGGGAGAGATTTGGCCCTGTCACTTAGGTTTATTTGCTGTTTCATAACAAAAAAATAAACTGCTAAGACTATTTGAAGGACTTCCATTTAATATTGTTAACTTAGAATGAATTTATGCTTTTTCAGGTTGGAAGAGCAGGGAGATTGGGTCACAGTGGAACTGCAATTACTTTTATCAATAACAACAGCAAGAAGCTCTTTTGGGATGTTGTGAAGAGAGTAAAACCCACAGGCACCATTCTTCCCCCACAGCTGCTTAATTCCCCATATCTGCATGACCAGAAGAGAAGGGAACAACAGAGACTTAAACAGTTACAGAACAGCCTTGTAACAGGAGATAATATTATGGACATTATTAAAAAACACAACAAAACTAATTCTCAGAGGTAATAAAGGCATATTTATAGTTACGTAATTACAATAAAGGTATGATTAAAAATAAATATGAAATGTTGCCTTGTATATTGCATTTTTGAAAGAAATTTGTACCTTTTTTTAAGAAGTCTCCTTTAAGTCTAATTTTATCTTGAAATACAGGCTATTGTGTGCTTGAATTACTGTAGTACCTAGTAAAAGTACTCTGGAACTCTTTCAAAACCAGTAGTCTGTGGTCTTGCTGGCAAGAAAAAGAAATGAGTGGCAGATTAGCCTCTGAAAATCTCTTCCTGTTAGCTTAAATAAAGTCTTCCACTGGGAATGTTTCTACAAGTCCTCAGTATGCTCTCTTGGGGTTTCTTAAGAACATATATACAAGGTTTGTTTGTAAACAGTACTGAAAATTTAGTTTCTCCATTAGTACCTGTGGACTAGCTGGAAGTTCTGCTGAAGCAGTTTGCAGTACCAGAAATAGTTTGTTACTAGTTGTGTGTAACTTCATGGAAGAGGAATAAGATAAAACCTGTAATTTTGATTTTATTTAATCAAAATTGTGTCTTCTTTAGAGATGGAATTTGTTGATTTTTCTGTCTCATTTGGAATAATCCACTCCTGCATATAAAATGTTTTTGTGTTGCTCTCCTGCAGACCAGTTTAGGCACTGGTATATTTAGAAGCATGGGCACCCCTGCTGTACCAAAATTCTACAAACTGTGTTCAACAATCATGAAATCAAACAATTCTACACCACGTTTGCCCCAGGAACTAAATGCAAGTACAGGATGTGTAAAAGTAAAATTGTATCAACATGGTTCAGTTATCTTGTAGCAAGCGTTCTATTTCTTTCTAGGTATAGATGGTTTAGTATATTTTATTATCAGTGGGTCTTTCATGCGCATATGTATCCTTTGATTCCAGCACCCTGTTTTTTCTTCTTCCCCTGGTGTTGGAGTTCCAACATTGCTTAAGTATCAAGTCCATCCTGTGTTCATTTAGTTCCTTTCCTACCCGCTTTTTCCTCCCGTTTCCAGCGGTGCTTTGGCTGTACAGGGCAGTGCGGTGCAGCTGCAGTACCCGCTCCGGGTACGGGACGGGTGGCCCTGCGTGGGATCCGGGTGGGCTCGCAGCGCTCCCAGGGTGCCGTGGCTGTGCTGGCTCCGCGCTCTGCGCCTCAGCCCTCACGCCCGGCCCGCCGGGGCGCCCCCTGGCGGCGCGGGGCGCTGCCGCGGGGCCGGGCCTGGGCGGAGCCTCGCGGAGCCAATCGGGCGCGCCCGGCGCGTTCAAACGGGGCGGGGGCGGAGCCGCGGCCCGAGCGGGCAGCGGTTGAGGAGGGGCGCGCTCAGGTGAGGGCGGCCTGGACGGAGCCTTCGGCGTTCCGGCGGGGCTTTCCCCTCCGCGGGCCGTGCTCTGGGCCAGCCGCGGGGCTCTGGGCCGTGTGGCGCAGCGGGTCTGGAGGTGCTGCTGCCGCCTCCTCGCCCTCTCCCCGAGGGCTGGTCGGTGGCCGTGCGGGGTCTGCCGGGGCTCGGCCGGGAAGGGAGGGGAGTTTTGCTGAGGGATAACAGAGCTGCCGGTCGCTCCAGCTTTGAGCGCTTGCGTTTCGTATCTAGTTAGTGGTTGTAATTCTTCAAAAACGAAGAATGAGCGTATTTCTCATTCTGAGTTCAGTTCTCTTGAACTGAACCTCATTCCTTATTTTAGAGCGAAGGAGCCTTTAATGGAGAGTTTCACTTTTCTCCCCATTTTCAGAAAGACTTTGTGATTATTCATTAGGCACAGTTGTGGCATGAGGAGGGGAAGACTTACAAGAGTTATATTAAAGCTGCATGGGAAGGATGGACTTTTCTAGTTTACACCGTGTTTCCCTATTTACTGACTGCTAGAGCGAACCACAAAGTTTGGAGTTTACTAGTCATGTAACATAGTTTCCTGTATCAAACTGGACTGAGCAATAAATACACTGCTCTGAAATTTTGGTATTTTCCTCACAAGTTGGAGGCTATGGAAAGTGTGCAGTCATGACACGTGTAAGTGGATGTAATTGCATGAAGTCTGACAGTACTCTGAAAGCTATTGCTTACAAGTGTAGCATTAAAGGAAGCTTCTGTTGAACCAGTGGCTAAATTATTTCTTCTGCATCACTTGCTTTTATCTTGTCTTCCCTTTTCTCCCCTGACCATGTACTGCTGTTGTTAATGATATTGCAGCTTTTGAAGGACTAAAGGTAGGTAACTTCTTGTTGACTTGTAACCATGAATTAATTGCAGCTGGCAGCTCTGCAGTGGTTATTGATATCAAACCCATTACAACCTATGTTAACTGTGATGCAGATGCAACAGAGAAAATACGTTTTCTTATTCAGATTACATATATAAAACTTTCAAAATATTTACACGTAGAAAGGACAGGGAGTATATTTTACAGTTTTCTTCTGTCCCCTAGGCTAGGTGTCTTTTGTTTTGCTATGTGTCTATATACCAGAGTGCACTAAAATAACATCCAAAGGTGCTGTTAATAGTTGTCTTTATTAATTGTCCTGTTCTGATACTGGGTTATATATTGCATATCAAAATCCTGAAAAAAAATATTCCTTCCATGTTAACAGACTACCTATTCAAGGTTAATTTTGTAGTTCTGTTGTAGTCTATTAGCTGTGATACACAAAGAGAGTAAATAGATGTGAGTGATTGGAGACATCATCTGGAATTTCCCAAGTTTGGAAATCATGGTAGATCACTTGGAAAAAATATCCATGGTCATCTTTGTTGCTAAATAATTAGATTGTTCTTTTTACCAACTTTTGATTTTTTGTGATGCTTAGTTTACTTTCTGACACAAATCATGGAACTCAATAAATCAAGTCAAATAGCCTGTTGTTGGAAGCAATCATTCAGATATAAAATATTTTTTTTTGCAAATGCTGGTGGTGAAACAGGATAGTAATTGTTCTTAACGTTTGGGAACATGTACTGCAGTATCTATAAGGAGATTCCCATGCAGTAAAACATAACTCACACTGCACATAAGCATCGTAAAAAAATTTTTGTTTTGTCTCCCCAGATTCCTCACGAAGCAGCAACTAGAAATAATCATTTAGGAAAGGTGCTATACTTGTCAACATTTGGGTTTTAATTAGCTGGAATACAGGATGCCTATTTACGCAGTTCCTGCCAGGAGTCCTGCTGGGACACGATGCATGGCCACTTTCCAGAAGGCTTCCTCACACAACACCCTGGCCAGCAGTAAAGTATCTGGGCAGCAGCTGAGGTCACAGGTGTTGGGAGAAAAGGATTGTCTGACTTCGTGTCCTCAGAATAAGACTGAGGAAGTAAATAGGACCTATGTGATTTCAGCTTGTGAAAAAGTGAGTGATATGTCAACTTCTTTTAAACTGGAAGGCAGATTAACACTCCAGAGGAGAACTGGAGCAAGCAAAAAATCAGTGTCTGGTAGTGATGCAACACAGAGTACGGAAGAGCTACAAACAGAGAAAAGACTTACTCTGCGGAGGCGTGTGAGGACTGGCTCCACAGAGAAGAGTAAAATTAATCAGAATATTGTGTCTAGAAAGGAAAATGATGACTTTGCACAAGGAAATGACAAGATTACACTTCCACAGAATATTAAGGGTACAGATGGTGTTAAACCAAACTTGAAGTTAACTGAAAGTCAGTCAAGTACCAAGTTGCAGCATAACCTGAACAGCAAGAATTCCTTTGGTTTAGTTGGTGGTGTCTGTGAAAACGCTATCAACACGTGTTTGAAAGATAAGACAAGCACTGCTGACACAAAGTTTCAAAATGAAGTTCCGAAATCAGAACGGTTCATTACCTCAAAATGTACTAATAGGCTGTCAGGAGAACAACTGAATGAGAAAGACAATCTAAATAAGTTAGCTGGAAAGCAAAGGGTACAGCACTTGATGATGAAACACAGCAGCTTGGAAAGACTAAAGACACCAGCAAAAGTTTTAACAGAAAGATTTACACCAAAGAGCAGCACTTCTCAAGATCAACCATCTCTCAAGTCAGCCTCATATGAACAAACACCTGATGTGCAAATTTTAGCCAAGAAACTCCCTAGTGTCTCTAGCTCTCTTCCTGTGAGTACAAGTTCGGAAACAAAAGTGAACACAGAAACTTTAGCTGAGAACAGCAGTACTGGGGAAGATGTTTTCAAAGTGAAAAACAGCAAAGTGATTGTAGCTGTGCGGGTGCGGCCCCTTAGTAACAGGTTTGTATCCTGGACTTATTTCTGGTGCTTACAGTGTGTGATTATTAATAGTTGATTTCTATTTTGTACTTGCTATTTCATCATTGATCCAATAAGGATATAATACATACTTGGAAATTAGTTGATACTTCATGCAACACCAAGATAGATTTTATTAGGAAACTGAATATAGTTTATTGGTGTTTGGGTCTGTTTTTTACATATTCATTAACAAAACTGTTTTGAACTGTAATACTTTGTATGTTCCTCAAACAGGTCTTTTTAGCAATGATCACTGTTTTTTTTTTATTTTCCATTAAGCAGTGAAATGACTAACTTAAAGCATGCAGCTTATATTTTTTTTATTTTCGAACCTTTTCCATTCAGAGAGAAAACTGAAAACTCATTCCTTGTGATCTCCATGAGTGGTTCAGAGACAATTGTACGAAATCCATCCACAAACCAAATTTACAGCTTCAGTTACGACTTCTCTTTCTGGTCTTTTGACAAGGGTCATCCTAATTTTGCAAGCCAAGCAATGATTTATGAAACTTTGGCACTGCCACTCCTTGAAAGAGCTTTTGAGGGATACAATGCTTGCGTTTTTTCTTATGGGCAGACTGGCTCTGGAAAATCATACACGTAAGTTGCTATTAATAATTGTTAAAATTCTGCCAAGTAGGGTTAAGTCATGAAAGAGATTGAATGGAATAGATTTCAGAGTGATTGAATTGTGTTAAAAGGTTATTGTGTGTTTTAAAAATAATTAAACCAGTATTTATAGCAATTAAGCACAAGTTAACTTTGAAATGTTTTAATGTATGTGATGCTGACTTCTTTCTACTTTTAATGGAGAAAATAAAAACTTTTCAGATATTTTAGTCAAGGAAAGCCTTTATTAATGCAGAGAGCTTGTCAGACTCTCCCAGTGCTGTTTTTCACCCCTGTTTGTTACTTTGTGCATGAAGTGTCGTAGTAAAGTATAGCATATTTTTTGGAGAAGACATTTGAGAGATCATTATACTTTTGGTCCTTACACTTCAGAACTTTAAATAAATCCAGATGTTTATGGCACTGCTAATTTGAAATCAAATCTTTGCACAAAATAATCCCAGAAAACTAACCTTTTTAAGGTTTATAGCCAATTGTGTATACCTTATTTATTTTGAAATAGAATGCCTAGTGAGCTGTTTGGTTTCCAAATATGCATCTTATTGCATATTTATATATACATATATTAAAATCAGTTTGAGTTTTTTAACTCTTTAAACTCTATAAACTACCTTTTAATAAAGGTAGTTGTGGACCAGACATGTCTGTTCAATTTACGATAAATATAGAACTTACACAGAAGTAAGTTCTCTTACAAGTGGATGAACTTCCATTTTAAGTGGATGAATTCAGTTTTTACTTACACTGTTAAACAACAGTGCCTTTTTTGCCTAAAAGAAAGAAACTCAGGATTGCAACTGTTATCCTATTTGTAGATTTGTAGGGGTTTTGTTTGGATTTTTTTCTTTCACTTGAACAATAACTTACCTTCACCCCTTTGTGTTTTGAACAAGGCTGAAATTAGTATCAAGGTCCTCTTGTCAAGCTTACACAGCAGATTTATGCTATGCAGCACTGTGTGTCTCTCGACTGCAGGTGGATTATTCCAGTGCCCTGGTATGCTGCTGTGGCAGAACTCAATGGGAAGAAACTGCACCAGAGCCAGAGACAGGCTTAGGTTGCACTGAAAGTGTGCAGAGAATATAAAATATGGGCATGTTAAGATATTGAAAATCTATAGGTTTAGACTCTTCAGCTGCTGTAGAGTCTTTGTTTTACTTGGGTTTTCAACATATTTCTCAATGGATGAAATAGAAAATACCTCTGGATATCACCTTGTCCAACTCCAGATTTAGACAAGCACCAATTTAGATCAGGTTAATTTCTGTTACTTATTGTTGTATAACTCAAAAGTGTGTGGCATGGCAACTGTAGATCTGTACAGTTAACATTAAAACTGTCTATGGAGAGTTAGAAAACTAATCCAGACGGATTTTTGTTGACTGCAGAATGATGGGATTTGATGAAGATCGAGGAATAATTCCAAGGCTTTGTGAAGATCTTTTCAATCAAATAGCACAAATGGACAAGCAACAGGTGATATGCTTATGCCATTGACCTTCTATTGGAATATGAGGAAAGTGATACTTTAGTACTGATCCCTTTATTAGAGTTCATATTCTTTTGCTGATTCAAATCTTACTTGTATTCATAGCTCTGATTCATAGGGTTCCCTAAACAGTAAAAATCAACATTGTTTTGCTTTCTTAATGGCAGTAGTATGAGAAAGAAATATGGGCTTGATATTTTTGTTGCATCACTAGACTAGGATTCTTTCCTCTATATTGCGTGTCTTACATTTTAAGATTTATGTAAAGACAAGCAAAACAAAATCCCAGTGGGCTCCATACTTGCAGTGGAGAGGCAGTAAAAATAGAGCTCAAAAATATGAATTTATTATTAAACATAATGTATCAAAGCAAAATACACTGTAATAGTATTCAAATTATAGTATTCCATCTCAGTATTCTAGCTGAAACAAAAAAATAACTCCCCTTACTTTCTTTATATTTCTTTCTGTGTGGTTGATTGTGTCTGTAATGACTGACTTGTGGTTCAGTAGACCTTAACAATGAGTTCATCTTATTCAGGCAAACTTTTCCATTTTTAACTATTCCAAATTTCTTTACTGCTTTATATTTTAATTCTAGGTATTGAATCCTAATACTTGTGAACATCTAATAGTCTAATCCTTCAGAAGATTTGATAGACACTGGAGAATTTAAGAAAGTTATTTATTGCTGAGTTTGGCTATAGAATATATTTTATAAAAAATGCAGAGCTTTTTTTTTATTCCTTTGCTTTATGCATTGTGATTCTGTTGCAGTGAATTATCTTGAGTCTTTTTGATTCCAGTGCTTTAGGGGCTTAGCTGCAATCTTCCATGTCTCTTAAAGAAAATACCATTCTTCTTGAAAATAGAAAAAAAAGACTCAGATGCCTTCAGAGGAAAAAAATGTGTTTTTATGAAAGTGTTGTTGTGGTGTTTTTGGTTTTTTAAATTGCTGTAGGTAGAATCAAAGTTTACCTTTCCATTAGGTCATTCTGTTCCATGTCAGGATGTTGATAACATCAATCCATGCCTTCCCTGTGGCAAATATCATGCTGTAGAAGCACAATCCCTAAGGGAATGAGATGAGTGCAGGTGCAAACAAAACAGTATTTTCATGTACTAAAAGCCCAATGCTGAAACTTCTAAAGTGGATATATATACTTTTTTTAAAGTGCTTTATAGATTCCATGTGGGAATGTCTATGGATGGAATTCCAATAAATTGTAGTTTTGGTCTTAACAGAGGTGTTGCAGTAGATAACCTTTATGGGTCCCTTTCAACCCAAACTGTTTCATGGTCTAATTTTTCTTGGAAAGTCCCTTCAGAACAAATGTTTATAACATTGAAAATCAGGATCTGATAGGCTAAGTTAATTTTTGAAACTAAGGATGATGAATATGCTTTGTGTACTATATTAATAACTATTATTAATTTTATTAGGTTTTGTATCATCTTGAAATGAGCTTCTTTGAAGTATACAATGAAAAAATTCATGATTTGCTTGTCTTTAAAGCTGAAAATGGACAGAAAAAACAAGTAAGTTGCTCACAGACTCAAGTATCTGTATAACCTCCAAGTAGTGGCATTTATTCTGAAACAAAAATACAGAAATGGCAAGTGATCATTGTTTTTTATCTAAGTGCCTTAGTTGTGAACCATGAGATTCAAGTAAAAAACAACTAAAAATATCAGAATATCACCACACGACTTAAAGCAAAATGCTCGTCACTGGAGAAATGCTAAGCAATGCTGAAATAGAAACAAAATGATTCAGTATAATCTATCAAAATAGTTGAAACCTCCCCTCATCTAAAAAGTTAAGACAATTTTATCAGCCTTTATAAAGTCTCCTAGAATGTATCTAAATCTCCAGCTTGTAATAAGAATCTTCTGTACAATATAACTTGAGTTACAGTATTTTAATTTAGATGGAGTTTTCTTTTTTTGCCTGGTTGTCTCTTAATGAGCTGGAGTAGTGGGGAAAGAAACCAGATTGGCCTGATTAACTAGTTAAGGATTATTGGTTAAACCAGTTTAGCTAGTGTTCAGTGGTTGTGTATTAGAATATGTAAAACCATAAATTAAATAAATTTGTCCTAAGTAGTGTATGTAGGGAAGAAATTTATTATGTCTGATTTATCAAAAAAAGGTGCGTTCTTTGCTTTGACACTGCACATTATCCTGGCATTTGTGTGTAAATTGAATATCAGTTTATTATAGATGCAACAGATGGTAAGCAAAAGATGATATGCAACATCCAACTTGCTGTTGAAATAAGACCTTTACCTAAACTTGGGACTTACGTAGACTTGTTATAAAGAAATTAAGAATGTACTGTCTTGTCTAAAGCAGGAGTGCTTTCACTCTGAGTTTTGCCAGTGAGTTTGGGGTAAGCTACGTAGAAATATAATAGATTTGTGCTGTAGAATCTTTTTTTTAGGATATTCTTGAGTACTAGATCTAACTAATGCACTCCTAATAATTTTTATTTTGAAATTATTCTCATCAGCTTCGTGTAAGAGAACATCCAGTGCTAGGACCATATGTGGAAGGCCTGACAGTGTAAGTCTTAACTGTACTTATTTTAACGGATTTATGGTGTAATCCTGAAAGAGGATATCTTGAGGCTCTGTGAAAGCTTGTGTACTCACCAGTAAATTAAGCAAGATCCCAGTATTATGTAGTTTCAGAAAAATGCATACCTATGACTAGCTTGATATATTTTCTTCACTGTCTTAGTGAAATCTAAAAATGTGGAAGTCTCAAGACAACTGCAGCTTTCATTGTGTATTTGTACTCTTTGTAACTGGGGAAATGTTGCAGGACTCGGGCAGCAGGGAAATCTATAGAAAGAAAACTGTCTGAACCCAAACTTGTCTTTTTTTTCCCCGCTGTAGGAATGTTGTTCGTTCTTACTCTGATATTCAGGTAAGAGTTTTCCAGTTACTAAAAGGGAATACAAGTATTTCTGCCCGCTCCTTTTCTGCTCACTGCTGAAAAATAAATTCTATGGATGGGAAGAAAATGTTTAACAGACTATCCAGTAGTCTATGATATTTCTGCTTATTTTGTAGAAGAGTGATGAAGACTAGTCCTATATAATGGAGCTGAGTAGATTTGTACAGTCAAGTGTCACTGTTTACATAGTTATTTCTAAAGTTTAATTTTTAATTCTTCTCTTGTAGACATAATTTATGATAATAACTGTATTTGCAAACATTTAAATCTTCAGTTAACAATCCAAAGTAGGGCATGGTTTCATCTCGTGAATTTTGTCTTTTACAGAGTTGGCTTGAACTAGGAAATAAGCAGAGAGCAACAGCTGCTACAGTAATGAATGACAAGAGCTCTAGATCCCATTCTGTCTTCACCCTTGTCATGACACAAACCAAGGTATTGCTGGAGTTTTTTGTATCTGTTCAAATCTGGTAAAAAATTCTTTTTTGTGCTGCCTAGAAAGTTGTGAGAATATACTTGAAGATCTTCGAATAAAGCACAGGGCATTTTAACATGGCTTTCTACATCACAAAACTTGTTTTATTTTACATGCTTTGAGTAGATTCTGATGTCTTTGTGCTAAGTATATTTATAGCAGCAGTATAAATATGTCTTGGCTGACAGATCTAGGAGTAGTTCCAAGCTTCTCAGTGTGAGTTTTGAGATATAGCAGGAATCCTAACTGAGGCCAAATTGAATTTCACACTGCTGCCAACACATCTTAGCTTCTAAGAAGGTTAGATTATGTGAGGTGTGTGTCTATGCTGAGTTCTTGCAGGAAACAAACTGGGGCAGCGGTAGGAGATGCAGTTTCTGCTCAGTTTCAACACACTTCACTGAATAAATACTTTCTTGCTTCAGGATGCCTCTTCCCCAAGTGTCTCCAGGATATAGGGACTACAACTCCTCATCTAATTTCCAGATGCTTAAAAGACAAAACCTGACTTAGTGATGTGGGTCTGAAGACAGAAATGGAATAGGCAGAGCTCCTCAGGAGTCTATAGACTGTCGGTTTTCTCCACTGACAAATGACTTGTTGGTTTGGGGGTTTTTGTTCTTGATTGATTTAATTTTTGTCCCAGTTTCCTGGATTTTCTCCTTTCTTCTTCTACTTGCTATTCTCACCACTACATAGATTTTTCTTGATCATAGCTGGTCTTGAGCTTTTCCACTGACTCCTTAACTGCTTTTTGTTGGTCTAAGTCATTAACAGCTTACTGATTTACATGTTTATTGGATAACTGCAATTGGATTGACTGCAGTCATCAAACTTCAGACCCAAACCCCTAGCCTGGTAATCTGTTGGGTTTGCAGTTCATGCTTGAGCAGTTATTCAGCCACAACCAACTGATACTATGGTTATAAGTCTGAGCTTGGTCTTCAAGGGATGTATGCAAGAGTATCCTGTCAAAAATTTAATGGCAGCATGAAATTTTTATGTATTTAATGTGAACAGCTTGTTCTGATTTCTGGTTATCCTCAGGCTTTTTATTTTGGTTTGTATGCCAGCATGTCCATTTCTTTCCAGGTAGAATTTGTGAATGAAGAACAGTGTGAACGTAGACTCACCAGTCACATAAATCTAATTGATCTTGCTGGTAGTGAGTGCTGTACAAAGGCTCAGACCACTGGAGAAAGGCTGAAGGTAAATCAAGAGATAGGAATCAAGCCATTTCCACAGATTTCTAAGAACACCCTTAAACTCCAAAGCATGCTCACATAACGGGACTTTGAGGCAGGAACTGTAGCCATAAAAGGATATCTATATAGCCCTTATACTTACCAGTATTACATCACATTTTGCCAGTGAGGGTGGGTGGCCTGAAGAAGCTGTTTGGACTGGGCAATGTGGCAGATCTTGCTTAGAACACCTCTCCCTGTGTTATGTAGGTCTAATAGTCCTGCAGGAGGACTAAGGGCACTGGATGCATTTCTGTTTGTGTGACTTTGGAAATCATGAATCAAATATCACATGGAATTGAGGTTTGCCCCTTTTTGGGTGCATCTAATTAAGTAGCTTTTTCTAATAAGAGACTTTTATTTCAAGCTGCCCTCATAAGTTTGATGGTTCTTAACACTACTTATTTTAAAGGCAGGGTCTTTGTTCTTTCCAAATGAAGATGCTCTTGCATCTTATTGTTTTTTTAATAACTGGTGACATTTAATGTGGTACAGCTGTAGCATGCATTAAACGGATGTAACTAATCAACAGTACAGTTGATAACATCACACAAGAAACTGCAACTGTATTATAAATATTTTTATTTTTGCTTTGTGTAGGAAGGTGTGAGTATCAATAAATCACTGTTGACCCTTGGAAGGGTTATTTCTGCACTGTCTAAACAATCTCAAAATGGAAAGAAAACTTTCATTCCTTACCGGGAATCCGTCCTTACTTGGTATGTACATTATATCTAGAGACAGAGGCTTTCTGAGACTGTGATTTTCTCTTCTATTCATGAGGCATCCACTTCCCATCCTTTTTCTCACTATCTCTCAAATGACCTGTGGAAGGAAGAAATTAAACTATTGCCCCAGATAAAGACTAATCAGGAGCTTGGATTGTATTTTAAGTAGCTAACAGGCCCTCTCAAAAAAGTAGCAAGACCCCAGGTATTTTGTATTTAATCTGTTACAATTCAGAAGTTTCGAATTTTTCCATCAGTGTGAGGACCAGGAATTGACTGGTGTTCTCCTGTCCAATGAAGGCTGTTAAAGGAAAGTCTTGGTGGTAATTCCCAAACAACCATGATAGCCACAGTGAGCCCAGCTGCCAGCAGCATTGAGGAGACTCTCAGCACCCTTCGCTATGCAAAACAGGCTTGTTCAATTATCAACATTGCTAAAGTAAATGAAGATGTAAATGTCCAGCTAATCAGAGGTGAGATTGATATCTGTAGTCTTTCAGGGTTGTCATTTGCATGTGCGTTTAGCTTATTTCTTATAAGAGTTGTTACTACTAATATTCTGTTGTGTTGACTGTCCCCTTGTCAACTAGACTAATACAGCTTGGGATGTCTTCCTTTTAATATTCTTTTTCTTTGTGAGCTTGAGGTGATGTCTTAGGCTACATCTGACCTAACTGAGATGTTAGGTCATCTAACTGGATGAGAACTGGAAATAGAGAAAGGTATTTTGTTTTTAAATAAGTAACAGGATTAATGTTGTACTGTTTTGCTGAATTGTGTTTTGCCTTCATTTTTTACGTGTACTGCGTGTCTGGTTTGTCTAATGTAGAATTAAAAGCTGAAATTGAAAAACTGAAGGCAGCTCAGAAAAGTGCTCTGAACACTGACCGTGAAAAATACAGGCGTTATTTGCAGGAAATAACATCTCTGAGGATAGAATTGTGCCAGCAGGAGAGGAACATGGCAGAAATGCAAAGGTCAGGCACTTATTGGTGTCTTAATTTATAATGGAAATGGTACAATTTATATGCTGCAGTTTTTCTCCTAATATGTTATTTTTTCCACATATTAAGGGCCTGGAAAGAAAAACTTGAACAAGCAGAAAAAAGGAAATTGGAAGATATAAAAGAATTGCAGGTACATTTTTTTTTATATAGGACATAGTACAGAAAATATACTCTCAGCAAACCATGCAAAAGAATGAGAGTAGCTGTAAGGTTTGGTTTCCTGGATACTCATCTTTTAACAGATTGCTGTGATTTCTTAGAAAAATATTAATGTAAATATTTGAATGCGTAAATTGTTTTTTAATGCAGAGCTCTTTTTTTATCTAGAAAGCTGGAATTGCATTCAAAATGGACAATCATTTACCAAACCTTGTCAATCTCAATGAAGATCCTCAGCTTTCTGAGGTGCTGTTATATATGATCAAAGAAGGAGAAACTACAGTTGGAAGGTGTACACCAAATTCAAAACATGATATCCAGCTTTCCGGAGTGCTGATTGCTGATGACCATTGGTTTGTTGTGTTCTTTTTTCATTTTAAGTTTTTTCTCTCCCCTTTCATTTGGGAATCACTCTTCCTTCTGGCAGTAACAAAATACAGTTTTCTAGCCAAGAAAATACTATGTAGGGATATTTTTTGTACTGTTCAATGATTACGGCAACTACCTTTTGTTCTCTCTAGAAATCTGTTAACAGAGGTAGTTTGGTTTCTTTGTTCATTTCATTCATGCAGCGAAGTTTTCTTCTGCAGCATTTCTACATGAATAAGACCTGATCAAATAATGCTGTGTGATAGATAACTAGTATGTTAAGTTCAGTGGAAAAGTGAAATGCCTTGACAGTTCTTAATTTAGTAAAAATAGACAGCAGCTTGGCTGCACTGCAGAAATATTGCTTAAAGTGCATTCCATGCAACCGATCCTTGAAAAAAATGCTGTAGGAAATGTAACTAATCAGTTACTAAAAGCATCACATAGTCAAAGAAATTCACAGTGTATTGTAGTAATTTTCTAGCAGTGGATTCCTAGATATAAATATAGGTTCTCTACCAAAATATAGGTTGTCATTCATTAATTGTGTCATACCTAAACAGTACGAAGACAATACACATCTAGGAAAACAATAACATCTAAAGCCTGCATTTTAGTCTATTAAAAAAACATCACTTGGAATTATCATGAGCTACTAATACTGTAAATGTTTCTTGTTTTCAGTGTTATTAAAAATACTGATGGCAAAGTAAGTATTATTCCACTTAGAGAAGCCAAGACATATGTAAATGGGAAATGCATTTTGGACCCAACAATTCTGCATCATGTAAGTAATTGATCTAGTAATAATAATTTGTTCATGTGTTGGTTTCTTTGCTTTAATATCTTGGCTTCAAACTGCAAGTTTTCTGAGAACACTGTGTAACCATAAATAGGTTTCTTCCTCTTTGATTTCTAGCTTCACCTGCATGTTTTAAGCAATGAAAATTTGCTTATAAATCTGAAAGTTTCAGCAGAATTTTTTTCCTCCAAACAGGGTGATCGAGTGATCCTTGGGGGAGACCATTATTTCAGGTTTAATCATCCAGCAGAGGTTCAGAAAGTTAAAACACCTTCTTGTGGGACTTTGTGTTTGCATGATGGTCCAAAAGATTTTGAATTTGCAAAGAATGAGCTGCTTATTGCACAGCGAGCACAGTAAGTATTGATTCCTCTTGTTCTGAAGATAAGTTCAATTGTTAATTCAATCATGCAATTAGTTTTAGAAGTAACTGAAGATTATTAATAATTTCACAATGGGGAAAGTTGGAAAATAGCAACTCCATTTATAATGGAAGTCACAGACTTGGCTGAAATGATGCACACCTCTAAGGTTCAATCATCACAAGCTAATCCAGGTACCAACAATGTAGACCACTATTAGAGAAACACTTAGCTGCAGGGATCCTCAGAGTAGTGTATCTCTTCAATCATGTTTCTCCCCAAGCATATGATGAGTCTGAAAATGACTTTAAAGACTGAGAAGTAAATGACATAGGAAAATGAGAAGAACCCAAAATAATAACCTTGGTCCTCTGTGGTGGAGAATTTGAGAGACAGTGAAATATTATTTATATTTACTTCATTATGGGGTGTTATTAAACCACAAGGCTTCTTGACTTAAAATTTAATTTTGCATCTTAATGTGATTGAGTTTGCATTGCAATTTAAATTGTTTAAATTTGTGAAAATGATGTAATAAAAATGGAAATTGAGTGGACTTTGAAATTCGGGAATGTCTTCCGTATTTACATAGGAAGTGTCTACCTTTTGTCGTGAAATCAAAACTATGTAAAGTATTTAAGTTATTTTGTTAAAAAAACCCTTAAACTCTCATGACAGAAAAATATATTATAATCTGTATGCATCTTATAACAGACAAAGAGCAGTAATCTAAATGTATGACACCTGTAGGCTTGAATCAGAAATTGAAGAGGCACGACTCAAAGCCAAGGAAGAAATGATGCAAAGTGTCCAAATAGCAAAAGAGATGGTTCAGCAAGAACTGATGTCACAAAAAGAAGCATATGAGAGCAAAATAAAATCTCTGGAAGCAGAGGTGGTAAGTTGCTATTACATCATTACATGAAATTTATCAATAAAGGAAACCAGAACCTGCAGTATGTGGTATCTGTTTGTTCGGTGCTCGGTTGGGCTTGGTTTATGTGTTTTTTGTTTTGGTTTTCTTTTTCTTTTGCATATTATAGCAGCATTTTTGTGAAACCTCTTAAAAAAAGTCAGCCTTAGTAACAGAAGAAGTTGTCAAGTAGTTATCCTCTGCAGAGTCCTTGCAGGGATTGTAACTTGTAAGCAAAGAAAAATACCTACAGAATATACCTTATTGCATGAGGCTTTTAAATCACTACACTGCATTGGTAATACAGTTTTCTTTCCAAGCTTGCATGCTACTTTGTAGTTGGTTTTTTGGTACAGTTGCAACATGGATAAGTTAGTATAGAATAGTACATCATGGTAAAACAATAATGATATATCTCATAGCTTAGATATTCTGTGGAAAACCTAAAGTGATGCTTGTGAATTGGGACATAACCATTGCTGACGTTGAGTTGTGCATGTCACAGAGGCTGCGAGTTCTAAATGTATTGAGTATCTGCCTGAAGGATGGGTCAGAAATACTGAAGGAGTATTCCTTCTCTCACTTTTCCTTTTTGATATTAGAGAGAAGAATCTCTTAAGAAGCAAATCCAAGAACAGAATAACCAAAAAGCCACAACTAAAATACAGGAGCTGGAGAAGGCCAAGAAAAGCCTTGAGCTAGAGCTCCACTTCAATAAGAAGCGTTTGGAAATGGAGACCTTAGCTACCAAGCAGGTAATTTAAAAAAACACCTTTTAAGGTAATAAACTGATTTGGTTGGGAGGTGCTTTTTTTGTATGTTTTTTAAATATCAGTTTAAATATCAGTTATTGTGGACTTTCTACTTGATTTTATGCAGAACTGATGTTTTGTTTGCAACCTGAGTATGGTAATGTATTCATGTTGGGGCTTAACTAATGCTGACCTTATTTCTTAAATAATGTGGATGGTTTTGTTCCTGCACCAAAATTTAGCAACTGCTGCCTCTAGCAAAAGTTATTACTCCAGACATTAATGTAAGTAATAACTGAGATTTGGCTAGTGTTCATATATATATCTGACTGCTGCAACAAATAAAACTTTTTTAAAAAGCTGTTCCTTTTTAATTCCATTATTTTTTTTGAGCATTGCAGTATGTAAGCAAACCCAGAGAACTGTCAGTTTGAAAGTTAATTATTTTATATTATTATAGCAGATGTCCAGTATAAAATTAATTCTGTGAGTCTTTAAAATGGCAGGATCAAAAAATTTATCTTCAACAAACAGCATTAGGAGTATTAGATTTTTTTTTTTTACCACTACCCATTTTCTCCCAGGCTCTAGAAGACCATACTATTCATCATGTAAAAATAGTGGAAGCTCTGGAAGCTGAGAAGCAGAAGATTGCTGAGGAAATCCATACCCTTCAGAAGAATCATGGAAGTGGGAATAAATCAGTGATGAGTATGTATATGCATAATGTTCCAAAGCCAGTGCTGGCTTCTCTTTTTCTCAGTGGGCATGGGTGATGGGTATTGATATAGGAACTTTTTCTGTTTCCCTAATACTTCTCTAGTGATCCTGAACAAGAAGTCTTCTGGTTGTTAGTCCTTTCCATTCATCAGCTGTGTGTATTGGACTGTGTTAAAAACTGTTTAATCACACTTAGAGTGGTTAGGTGGACATACCTGTAGTCTGTATTTATTCTAGTTGCTTAGAAGTCCTTCCCTGTCTGTCTCCACTGGTCAGGCATTAATTCATTGGGGAAACTGGTGTAACAGAATTTGTTTTCTTCAGTTTCCTATCTTGGATTGATAATAATAATAATATGGTGTCTGGTCTTATGCCTCTGTTTCGGAAATATCCTTTACCTAGCCATTTAAAAGGGTAATCTTGCCTGGAAGAGTAGTTCCCAATGTGTTGGGAATTCTTGAAACTATTGTTAGCTAGATTACATTTTGCATTTGGGTTGTGGTTTCTTTTCTGCCCTTTATTTTTTTTTAACCCTGAAGTTGCTGCATCGCATAGTTTGGTTCACTAAGTTAGTATGTTTTATATTCTTTATTAGTTCCACTGAACTGGAAGTCACTGAAGCTGTCTGTGATGATTAGAGAGGCTAACACCATTAGCAATGCATTAGAGAAAAACACTGTTTTCTGCAGGTCAGTATCTGAGTTACTTGATTATAATGTGTATATGTAATGGATATATAATATTTGTGTATATATTTGGGGTGGTTTTGGGATGTGCAGTGAGCTGTTGGTGTTTCTTTTACCAGTCTTGTGCAATTAAACATAATAAATTTCTTTTCCAAACTTTTGTTAGTTAAGAGTGTAACTGAGCCTTGTTACTTTGAAATGTGAATTTCTGATTTGAATTTTAGATGAAGCTTTAAAGATATGCTATAGACAATTTATTTTGAATGCAGTGTGCTTTGGAGGTGAATCATTGCATGCCCATGTCTGCCTTACTTTGGTTCACGTATCAAAGTGGCCCTAAAGCATGGTAACTGTGAGATGCAATATGTCTGAAGAAATTTTTGTGTTTGTCATGTTTTTAGCCTCTGTATAATTCTACCTACAAGTACCTTGTTTATTTTTGCAATATTAATGTGGTTTTTTTGTCTTTATTTTTGTCTTCTTGTTTTTTAACTTTCTCCAATACTTAGGCATGACAAAATTGATGATAAAACAGGTACAGTGTCTTCTATTCAGGTGCAGGTTCGTAACATCAAACTGGGAATAACAACTTTTTGGAACCTAGAGAAATTTGAATGTAAACTAGCAGCAATGAAAGAACTCTATGAGGTCAGTAACAATGGAAGAAGAACCACTAGTAATCAGTAATATTTTGTCAAGGATAAGGTTTTGATAATGCATACAGGAGGAAAATCTTGGTGGTCTTTTGTGTTGCATATCTTAACAGCAATACAAATGACTACTTCTCACTAAAAACATGCAGATGTATTTGTCTATCAAACAAAAAGAATACAATAGAAACAAGTGACTTCAGATCATTTTGTGTAGAGAGTAAGGAGCAGTAGAACAAGGACTGCTTTGTGATTCTTTTGGTTGTTCAATTGTTTTATGTTGTAAAATCTTGAATTTCTAAAGGAAATAATAAAAATAATAGAAAAACTTCAGTTTCTACTATGTTCTGTTTATCCATATGTTGACTACTTTATAACTTTTTTTAACTCTCCTCCTCCCCTGTGCTTGCTTTATTTTTTCAGAGTAATGATAGAAATAAAGCTGTTGATGTGTTTTATGATCCTGCTGATGAGTGGGAACCTGACCTTTCAGACAGCTCCATTTCCTTGCTTTCCAGAAGAAGGTAAAAGTAGTTTGTAGCTACTTTTCTATGCTTAAAACAAAGCAAATAATTGTGTAATTATCTAAATATGCTTTGTTCCACTCTCATACACTTATGTCATCTGGTGAGTCTTCTCTTGTGTTCACTCATTCTCTTGGATTTCCTCCATGGACAAAAAAACGGGGCAAAAGTCTCTAGAGCTTTCCAATTTTCAGTGCAGGTATAGTTTTTAATGTTTCCTTCCCTCTTCTATGCTATCAAAGCATTGTTTTTAAGGAGTAAATTGCATGTGGTCTGGGTCGGTTATTTGAAGTTTCAGCCTAATAACAATATTTATGACTGACGTGCACATTTGTTCAAGCTGTAGCTCATCATGGAAATGCTTTTCTTTTCAATATTTTTCATGTTCTTTTATCGTCCTTTCTTAGAAGTAGAAGCTTCATGAAGAACAAGAGGATTTCTGGATGTTTGTCTGAGATAAAATTGCAAGCTATACAGAATAAACAGGCTTCCTATATATCAGGTATTTGCTAAATGGCAGAACACCTTTCATTTCATACTGAGAATTTGAACCTACCACATGCATAAAAAGCAGGTGCTTCTGATAGTTGTTTAAAAACCTGGGGATGGAAAGCAAAATTAAAAATCTCCTGCTTATGAGACCTTCAAATTTATAATGTAAAGGTATTAACAGCAAGGGTTTCTATATTTTTGGTTATCCCTTCTTAGGGCAAAAACTTGCTGACCAGTACTTTAGGAGCCTAATTTAAGAAATTTATCTAGAACATTACTCTGCCTAACTATGTGGGTTAACTGGTGAAAGATGCTGAATCCTAATACAGTAATATGGGGACTTAATTTGCTTGAATTATTGCTATTCATTCAATTCTTGAGATTTCCCCAAGCATTTGGCCAGGTTTTACAACCATTTTTTTCCTGAGATATAGGATGCTTTAGTCTTCCAAATATTTGTATGCATTCAGTTATTTTAGATTGGTTGAATTTTATTTTTTATTTGATCATTGAAACAAATGTATTCATGTTAAAGAATTTCACTATGGAATTTGTACTAAGAGAATTTATAAATCATTTAGAATGTTTTACACATTTTTTCTGAATGACCGTCTTATGTAGGTGAATGTCTACATAAGTTATAAAAGACACACTGACTGCTCACTCCTGTGAATTTCATGCATGTATGTTTTGCTTCTACCTTGTACAGGTTTAATGAACAAGTCCAGCATATGCTCAAGCATTTCTGAATTGTTTCTTCCTGGAATTTGCAAGGAGTCTATAAGTTCAGCTTTAGATTTGCTTGGACAGAGTCGTGAAGGAGGAAAAAGCATAGCAGATAGTCTCCTAACTAATTTGTTTATAATCTTTTCTGGGGTGTCTGCCATTTCAAAAGCCTATGAACAGCAAGATGAAGAATGTCAGGAAAACAGTAAGTCCTGTTTTCATTGTGGTTTAAATATTTCTTATGACTTCTTTCAGACGCACAAGCATTCATGTGTTTTTCAGTCACATGAATTAATGTTCCTACGTTCATTTGTAAAGGAGATGGAGCTGATAGATCTCTTTCTCTTATAGTTTTCTCTCTTGATCGTGCTGCTCAGTCCTACAGCATCAGAATTGTCTCTGCTTTTGACCAGATTGTGGTTATAAGTAAACTCTGGCTTAATAATGTCCAAAAGTGTCCTGGATCTAGAAAAGTTGATGAAGAAATGAAACAGGAAATAATGAACTTGGGAGGTTACTTACAGTTGCTGTTGCAGGTAACGCATATTAAAGAATTCATCTGTGTGTAGACAACTTCTCTGCCTTAATGTAGTATTTATTACAGACTAGCTAAAAACACTGAAATGTCCAATATGTGTAATGACAAACTAATGCGCCTAAGGAAGATAAATAGCCAAGTCTGCATTTTTTCTGGCTAAGTTGGTAGTTCCATGTGCTACTAGTCAGTAATGCAGACCTTCCTGTGTCCAGGCCCTGACAGAAGCGTTGGTTCTTGCTTGTAAAATGGTAAAATTAAACATATAATAAGAGCAAATGATAGTTTAGACAGTGAGGTGTTGCTTCTTATGAGGTGATGTTTATACACTCATTAACCAGTGGCCAGTAAATATTATTTTTGTGCACACTACAGCCTTAGGAATCTTTTTTTCTTTTAAAACTATGCAGTATAATGGTATTGTTGCTCTGTGGTTGGAAGGCATGATTTTATAGCTGTGATAGATAAGCTATTTGAAGTAGGAAGATGTAAAGCTGAAAATGCCTGAATATTGTGTGCTAGGAACTCCTGCTGTATAGCAAGTGTGCATTCTTTGACCAGAGGTGCTTTATGGCATCAGTGAAAGATGTGCCTTTTTTTCTCAGGGGTGTTCTTCAGATATATCCTCGATGGTAGAAGAAGCATGGAACAAAGTAAACCAAACAGTGAAACAAACAATGAAATGCATAGGACACTTGGCAGTAGTCACAACAGCTGATATTTCATTTCCTGAAGAGAACAACATTCTTGCCTCTAGTCTACAGGTGAGGAAATGTTTCTTAGAAATACTGATTATGAATTAGGAATTCTAGTGTTGAGGTCACACTATCAGTAACTCTACTCAGGAGCAAATTGTTCCATATACTGACTTTATCAACTGAATTAAGTATATTTAGAGTTTATCTAATTCTTCAAATTCAGGGTGAAAATGGATGTATTAATACCCTTTTTTTCCTTAAAAACCACATCCTGTAAATCTGTGCAAGTTAAACCTATAAAGAGAAAGAAGTGTATGGTCCTTTTAGGACTGTACCTGCGCTGAGATTGTACGAGTCTATCTGTTTCAGTTTCACTGAAATTCACTATTTATATTTTACTAATCTGTGTCTAAGTACTGCATGGAATTCACAAAAGTATGAACAGAGCTCCTGTGGTCCAAGTACAAGACATGTGTCTGAATAAATCTGCACTGAATAATTTGCTCAAAACAAAATTATTTCTAGTCTACTGTAGAAAATCTGTTTTAATTCAAGACCACATCTATTTCTTTAACCAGTGCATTTTGAACCTTTGTTTTAAAAGGAATTTGTACTTGCCATTTATGATGGAGTAGGCTCGGGACTGGAATGTCTTATTGATGCTGTACAGGAGAAAGCAAGAATAGTACAGAAAGAACTTGTGAAACAATGTCCACAAAATGAGGTGAGATGAAATGAAGATTAAAAACTGCTACTCTATCTTGGGAGACACTTGATCATGTTTTGTTTTTTGTACTTGTAATTTTAAATCATGAGGAAGATGATACTGTAGGGAGTTAGGTGAAGTAGAGACTAAAGTATAAGCAATAAGCACCATGGTTAAAAATATTTCTGTAACTGCTAGAAAATTCCAGTAGGGAGGTTACTTGTGTACCCCTTGGAAACACACCACTTTCTTAGTGGGTAAGTCCTTTTGACAGAGAGACTGGCTGAATTGCAAGAAAATACTTAGTAAAGACTGAAATCATCTGCGTAATAAATTGTTCCTCTCAAGGAAAGCAAAACTTTCTTCCTACTCTGGTTTTCACTGTTGTCATTCTTAATCCTACAGATAGTAGTGAAACCATCCAAAATATTTTATTTCAATGTCTTTTGCTTAACTCCCAAATACTTTGTTTCCAGCAAAAGGAACTGAGCACTCTGCTTTCCAAATAACACTGTTCACTTGCAGCAAATCCTTAAGTATCTGTAGGATTTCTGCACATGCTTGTCACTGGTGCAACTACCGTGAAAATGGAAATAAAACACCAGAGTTACCCCTGCCACTTAAAATAATAGTGATACAAAGTTACAGGACAACCGTTCTTCAGTCAATATTTAAACGTGTTCATTGGATCCTCCCATAGTAAGGGTTTTAAAACCTTGCAGATGTAATTAATGTATTTTACCAGTTAAATGTTTTTTTGGAAAAAATTGCATGTTTAGTCGCAGAAAATGATATTTCTTTTGGGTATTTTTCTCCTTAGTGTGTTTGTTCTTTTTCTTTTAATCAACTTTGACTTGAATGAAGTATACAAAATAATTAAAAGTTTCTTGTAGATTCAAAATCGAATAAAGGATAATGTGGTGGCATTAGCCAGATTCCTTGAAAATAACATGTCTTACTGCAGAAAGGTAAGAGAAATGTTTCACAAAAATATGTGCTTTGAGTCTGGTATTTAAACTTTAAGGATGCATTTATCTAAGAAGAGGAATGTGTGTATACATATATATACACGTTCATACATACTGTATATTTATGATTGCATGATAACACTTCCTGTCAGAGCAGCATTCCTGACTGGAATGACTAACTTTTCTTGACACTACATTTCCACTCAAAGCTCTTTTATTTTAATTTTACTTAAGCTAAAAAATTTCTGGAGGTACTTGTATCTTCCTTTTTGTGCTCGTCTTGAACAGCCTAACTAACGGTTGCGTGTTTTTTTAAGTTGAAAGATCAACTTTGCTAGTGTAATTGTTTTATAACTGCTGTCATCATTTATGACCACAGTTATTGGTATTTTGAATTAAAAGCCAGGATAGATGACTTATCTTCTATGAGCCAAACATTTCCTGGATTTTCATGTAGTTTTCTTTTTTCTTTTCCTAACCCTGTCAACCATATGCATCTCTTTTCAGTGCTGACTTATATGACAATAGGATATTAGCAATGATATGGATTTGATTTTGTGTTTCAGCATTGGCTTGATCTATGTGACTGAAACCGTAACAGACATGTTTAGTAGTTAATATACTGTGATGTATTTGATTCTCTTTGAATTGCTCTTTATTAATACAGAAAGAAACAGAATCTCAGTTGCCAGAAGACTCTCTATATCGAGAAATAAAGAAGAGCACTAAGATTGCTGTGAAGTATTTGGAATTGGAGCAGTGCCTGACTGAAGTCTGTCAAATTGTGTCTTCTATGTTACAAGGTATTTAACATCTGTAACCTACGGGCTACAGGAGACTTGCAAAGCAAGGGAAGAGGGCTCTTTGGTATCTGCAAAATGCTTTATTTGATTCTTCTTGGTTTTGTTTCTCATAGGGTTGTACAGAAACACCAGCCCTCTCAGGAGCTTTGCAGGAAATATTTCTGTTATTGCTGGATATTTTAACAACTATTTCAGTTTATTTGCCTTGTCTTCTGCAAACAACCCTATCCAGAAAATGCACGTGCCTTTTATGAACCTGGATGAATTGGACTCGCTGGTTGATTCCCTTATTATGAATTTTGAACTTGAACAACGACAGCCATCATTGCAATCTCAAATTATTTGTAGTGAAACTACTGAGACTCAAGGAGGACAGGTTGAAACAGGTCAGGTTGAATTTGCTTGGAAATGGAACGGGATTCCAGAATGCACACAGACTCCTGAGCTTTCTCCTGGTAGGATAGAATGGGTATAAAATGTTATTATCAAGAAATTAAAGAGAACTTTTTCCTATTGCAATATTTCACAAAAACCTAAAATTTATTGCTAATATTATTAGTGAGTGAGTGGTGGAAAAGTAAAATGCCATGTTTGTATAAGTATCCTGTATTTCAGCAAAGAAAAAATATTCTTTAAGAGGCTGTCAAACTTCCAAATATATTTCCTTTTGTTTTAATAGAAGTCTAGTATGACCTAAGTTTAGAATTAATAATTTATTTTTTTTTGAGTTTTTGCTTCACTTCAGCTGCATTATGATCTAGTAATGCTACTGCAACTTGAAAGTGTTTTTTAATGCCTTTTTTTAAACAGAGAAAACTTTGTATTTATTTGTGTAGAGGAAAATGATGAGAGCTAGTAAAAGTACTTTGCAATCTTATTTTATGAATGCTTTTTAAAGTGGTTTTTAGTTCACCGAAGAATCTGGGCTTGAAGTATCAGTGATGCTGTTCAAAGTGATCTGAAGTAAGTTTATGTTGGGTTTGTTGCTAGTGAGTTATCTTTTGATTGCTGAAATAATTCATTATTCATATTGGAATAGAAGCATATCTGAATAGAAGCATATCTATTCCTAAATAACATATAAATTACTCCAGCTTGTAATTACTCCCAATTCATTACTTCCTCGTGCTTGTTATCATTGTTTAACATCTTACTTTTGGTGTAATGGCTGAAGTTAACAGGAAGGATGGAAATTAATTTGCATGGGTTTTAGGAGGCCTGGACTGAGCACAGTTTACTCACAACAGTGCTGAGACATGCATAAGGTAAAACATAAGGTTTTTTCCTATACATCAATGTGTCTGTTGTGGTTTAAGTCCAGCTGGAAAATAAGCGCTGCACAGCCATTCCCTTGTTCCCCCACCAGTGGGGGAGAATCAGAAGGGTAAAAGTGAGAAAATTCCTAGCTTGAAACATAGACAGTTTAATAGGGAAAAGCCCCATACACAAGCAGAGCAAAACAAGGAATTAATTCCCTGCTTCCCATGGTCTTTCCCCATGAACTGCAGGGGAATCTCTGGTCCCATGCATGCCTGGAGCATTTCCTCTGCTCCAGCATGGGGTTGTGGGTCCCTTCCCACAGGGGGTGCAGTCCTTCAGGACCAGCCTGCTGCAGTTTGGATCCCTCATGGAGTTACAGATCCTGCCAACAAATCTGTTCCAGCATGGTCTTTCTCCAAGTGTCCACAGATCCCTGCCAGGAGCCTACTCTCCATCACTGGCTTGCTCTGGCTTTCCCTCCTTCAGGCCCACCTGTCCCAGTGTGGGCTCCTCCATGGGCTGCAGGTAGATTTCTGCTTCCACATGAACACATCCACAGGTCCTAGTCTCTCTGACTGAAGCTCACAATGGAGTTCCAGCATGTCCAGTAGAGCAGCACAGAAACAGCAGTGATGCCCTGGCCATCTGCCAGTCCCTGTGCATCACCACTGCTGTCCTCAAAATGTCCCCAAGCTCAGCGGAGGGAGGGGATCAGCAGCACAACAGCAGGGAAAGCAAAAATCAGGCACAGATGAGCACTACACTAATGTACTGTAAAGCATCAAGGCCAGGGCCAGCACAGGAGTCTGCCCAAAGCAGCCAAGCAGCAATAAAGGCTATAAATTCCATCTAACACATTCCAATCAAAGCTGTTATCTTCAACCTTCTGCACCCCATGGTGGGCATCAAAAGGGAACTATTGTGGTTTAACCCCAGCTAGTAACTCAGCGCTACACAGCTGCATGTTCACTGCATCCCAGTGGGACTGGGGAGAGAATTGGAAGGGTAAAAGTGAGAAGAAACATGGGCTGAGATAAAGAAAGTTTAATAGCAAAAACAAAAAACTGTGCATGCAAGCCGAACAAGACAAGAAATCATCTCACCATTTCCCATGGCCTGGTAGGGGTTCAGCCATCCCTCAGAAAGCAGGGCACCATCACATGTAATGGTCACTTGGGAAGGCAAATGCCATCACTCCAAATGTTCCCCCATTCCTTCTCCTTCCTGAGCATGATGTCACATGGTCTGGAATGTCCCAGCTGTGTCCTCCCCACTTCCCAAGCACCTCCAGCCTCTTCATCAGCATGGCACTATAAGAAGCAGAAAAGGCCTTGATTCTTTGTAGCTTCTGCTCAGCAATAAAAAAAAAAAAAAAAAGCGTCTATGTTATCATTGTGTTCAGCACAAATCCAAACCATTGTCCTATACAAACTACCTTGAAAAAAATTAACCCCATGTAAGCCAACACCAGTACAGCTTCCCAGGTGAATATTCATGGCTGTAATCTCTCCTTCTGAGGGAAGATGTTCAACATCTTGAGAATTCCAGTCTTTGAGGACATGTCAGGCTCTTGGAACTCTATCATGTGAAAAGACTGCAGTAGAATCAATCATTTTGTTTTGAAAATTTTGGTTAGAATTGATGCTGTTATTCAGTGATTTTTGTGCTTTTCTGATGCAGAGGAAATGAGGAATATAATTATGCTGATCCAGTAACCCACATATATATTTCCTAAAGATTAATGCACTGTAGTACTTTCCCAAAAAATGTATTGCAGTGCAGTCCTGTCACCAAAAATACTCAGCACTTGCAGCTAATAATTTTCTTCTCATATGAGGTGTTGATGCTTAATTGCTTTCTTACTGTAAAGGCCTTTGCAAGTTTGCTCAAGGGTTAAGAAGGTATATTCAGCTGTTCAGATTTTTATGCTTTAAAAGTGAAGAGGAACCTGATATATTTCTACATGTGAAAATGTATTATTTTGTATTTGGCTGAAATTTTAAAAACATAACTGGTTCTTCTGTGTTGTATCTAAGCATGGGAAATATAAAGAGTAAAACTACATCATGTACCTGATCACTGATTTTTGACTCCAAGTGTGAATTCCTTGTTGATTTTCTTCACTTGATTTTGAGACCTTCCTTTGTCACTGAAAATATTGCTTTCTTGCTCAAAATATTTTAGTGTAAAAATACAAAATATTAGTAAGAGGTGTTTTCTGTAGCTCACAAGAGAAACCAAATAATTTCTTTACCTACCTCTAATTTCTTTCCTTTACCTACCTATAATTTCTTTCCTTTACCAAGACACATTAAGTTCCCTCAACTAAAAGCACACATCTATAGACTGAGTGTTCATGAACTAATCTATGCCTATTAATGTCAGAATTTCTTTCAATAATTGCTACTCATGATTATGGTGTTATGTCAAGTATTCATTGCAAAATCACATTCAGGTGTTAGCGATGTTTGTTCTTGTATTTAATGAGAAGCATTGCTCAGAAAACATATTGAGTTTTGTAGTTCTGTGTATTGTTACGAGGTTTTTTTTTTTTTCCCTTTCTATAACTGAAAACCAAGTTTTTCACAAGCTTAAAGCTCAAAATGACTCTGAGTTATAGCATTTTGGAAACTCAGGAAGTGGCCATGCTAACTAACTGGTTTTTGACAGACTTAACTGAGGTATTGGAAGTGCCATCTTAATAATGAAATTTAGTTTTTGCAGAATGAGTGAAAATGTGCCAGTAACTTCTTTCTGCTCAGTTGGTATTTGTTGTTCTGGGGGTTTTTTTGCTGGTTTTTTTTTGTTTGCTTTATTTTTTTCCTCTGTGCTAACCATGTCTAATGAATCCCTCTCTTATTCCCATTGTTAATGCACTATTTTAGAGTAAGATGTTGTCAAAACCTGCTAGTGTTTTCTTCAGCTTGTTGGAGTTCTACATTGTTGAAGTGCTTCATTCTCATGCTCCATATGGTGCCTGTACATCAGCAGTGAGAGCTCTCACACCTGCTGCACTGAGATGTCAACACACCTAGCTGAGGCCCCAGCCATCTATGAATGTAATATACCATAAGATAAGGTATACTTATAACTATAGATTAGGATATCTAGAAATTATCAATGCCAGGGAACTGGCATCACAACCAATATTTATTAAAATACCTTTCATTAACTGTTACTAATGGAATTAAAATGTTTACTTCCAGCAGGTAATTGTTCACGCAGTACTTTCACTTACTCCTTCACACTTCACTTGTACCCACACATAAAAATCACTCATGGCTACAAGGCTGGAGCAACAACTGTGAGCTTCTGACTCTGAATGCTCAGATTGGCATTGATGAGACTTTGATCTGCCAGGTACTTCAGCACGTACTCCACCTCTTTTTGGCTACTGTTTTTTCATCCACAGCCACATGCATCTGTAGAACCATTCACACACGCTTATACAATGACAGAACTTCTATGGTTTGGGCTGAAACTTACTCAGTAGCTGAAGTCATGCTTCTACTAAAAGCAGTAAATTTAGTCTCAAAAGACTTTGGGGTTCTCAAATCTACAGCCTTCAGCTCTGTGACACTGAAAGAAACTGTGAGTGAACAGCCAGGAACATGTGGGAGGTGTGGGAAGTGCTGTGAAGAAATGTTTAGACACCTGACTGAGATGTATTGTTTTCTGCAGTCACGATGAATTTACTTTGTTATATGTATTGATGTGGTTTGTTGTGTTGGTGTGGGGGTGTTGTTCAGGTCGCTTCTTTGCTATTTTTTTCCTTTATTTTTGGTTTATTTTCTTCTCTTTTTCCTTCAGGAAATTATTCTTCAGTCAGCTTTCAGGTAAAAAGTAATTAGAATTATAGGTACTTAATTCATGGGTTTTAATAACTGATGTAAAATGAAGGGGGCTTTGTTTTCATTTAAATGTGAAGTGTGGAGGCAGGGTACTCAGGCTGCTGTACCCTAGTTTAATTTGAAAATGTAAAACTAAGAAAAATCTAACTAATGAAATGCATTCTCTTTACAATAGGAGTCACTTTAAGAAATAAATAAGAAATTGTTATTTCTTCAGCTCCATACTTTATTTTAAAAATAATATTAATTAATAAAAAGGCATAATGATTGAGAGTACCTAATGTTAGCCTGTCTTTATTGAGACACATTGTGTGTGAGCTTTTAGAAGAAAGTGCAGTCTAGCTATGCTTTTTAAAGAATGTGTATTAGTATTAGAAATTAAGGTTCAATAAACTCTTCTAGTACTTGCTTGAACATTCTAGATGAAGGAAAACAGCAAGATGCAGTTTAGATTTAATTCAATCCAGTAATAGCATCTGCAGGCAGAAGAGGAGAGTATATCTGATTCACCTCTGCAAATACAACCAGTTATTTTTGGACAGGAAATTTTTTTCTCATTCTTCATTCATGTGAAAATACTGTGATTTGATGAGTTCTTTTGTATGTTTTGTAGCTTTTACGATTTCAAAGTGGGTTTTTGCTTTGTTTTATTTTGGTTTTTTAAATGTTATTTTAGGACAGTATTTTAATTCTCTTCCTAGCTTTTGGTAGGATCTGAGAGGCTTTATGCCTTTTTCCAAGAAAGAACTGAGGTTTTTTGCTGG